TGTTGTTCAGCATCTTAGCTGTAGAGGGCAGTGTCACTGGCCCTCATATGTGGGATCCAAACCGGGGCCCTCTGGCATCCCAAGCCAGCTCTTAACCACCGTGCCACTCAGCCAGCTCGCATTTATCCTTTAAATACAATTCCCTAGAGCAGAGAAGGAAAAAATGGAAAAGATCATTGAACAACAACAAACATGTATTTTCTAGGCATTAATTCATCCTTTAAGAAAGTCCTTTATTGAATGCTTACTATGTGCCATAAACTGTTTTGGGACACCAGGGATTTAGTAGCAAACAAAACAGGCCAAGTGCCCACTTTCACTGAGTTTCCTTTGTGGGATTTACTGTGATTTATCTGCGTATTCTTTGAAATTTATATATATATATATATATATATATATATTTTAATCACAGTAAAACATAATGCTGAGGAAAGGGCTTGAATTAAACATTCCTGGTCATCTCTGGACCATGTACAAACAATTCTGTAATAGGGTTGCTTTAGAAATTCCAGACAGAGCTAAACCCAAGCTACCCTTATGGAGACTCATCCTAGTTATTTGGGGGATCCTGGTTGGCCCAGAATCCTTTTGAAACTGGTTAAAATTCCCAAGGATCCTTCTGTTTGGTTTTCTGCAGCCATGGATCCCCACCCAACCAAGTCATTGTGAATCCCCCAAGCCAGAAGTGTGTTCTGGGCTGGAGTGGCAGCCCCGTACTCTGGAACTAGAGAGTGTGAGCATCCTTAGCTATATCTAGCATCTGTCTGGTTTAGCCTCTGAGAAATGACTATAAAGTAATCATAATAATGGTTACCAATTAGCTGAGCATGTGTAATACTTCCGGCACTGTTCTGAGCATTTTGTATATTGTTAAATCATTTAATCCTCTAAACAATTTTGTGATCATCGTTTTGCAGATAAGGAAACAGATGCATAGAACCAAGTTTTCATAGCTAGTGAATGTTAGAATTTGGATTCAAACCCAAGCAGTCTGACTGTAAACCAGTTTTTGCTCTTCACCCCTCTATTATACTGTGCTATAGAGACTGGCTTCTAAAATTTTGTTGATCAGATTAGCATTCTCCTTCTAAGTGAAGCCACATTTAAGACTGTCTGACTCTAACTGAAATATATTTAGAAATCTTCTTTTAGAATTATCTAGGTCACATCATTTACTTTCTCTGGACCTCTGTTTTCTTATTTGTAAAATGAGAAACCTTCACCATTTGAAGGTGGATTAAACTTTTGGAGCAACCAGAAGTCAGTTTGAATCAAGTTTTGAAAATAAATTTAGAAAATAAAGTCAGCAATCAAGACTAACTTGGTGGGAGTGGAGTCAATGGAATTGTAATAGATATGTATAATATTGGGGGGGCGGCAGATTGGGGATGGGGGTTGTCACTTTGAGGGGTAAAAAGTATAACTATTGCTCTGTGTTGTACATCTGAAACTAATTTAAATAAATAAATGTATATTTAAAAAAAGTTCAAAGGAACTGAGAAATAAACAAACATAAACTTAAAAAAAAACACAAACCAAAAAAAAACAAAATAGGATTTAACTTTCTTTGGCAAGTTTTTAAACTTTAAGTAAAAGCTTATTATTTAAAAAAAAAAAGACTGACTTGGTATGTACGTATATATGAGTGGGGCCATTGATGACAGTGGAGCAAATACTGGGTTTTGTGTTTCTTTTGACTTGTTCTTTCTTCTATCTAGTTTTTTTTTTTTATATTCTTTCCTCTGTTGATGTTACCTTAAATCGTCCTAAAGACATTATGTGGAGAGCAATTCATTTCAAGAATAATGCCAGTGTGTCACAAAATATTGTTTCTTGGTCTATACGCAGCGGTTCTCAACCTTTCACAGGGGTCGCCTAAAACCATCGGAAAACACATATTTTCGATGGTCTTAGGAACTGAGACACCGCTCCTCTATCCGTCTCCAGGCCCACATGCAGATACGCCCACATACAAGTACCCAGCGACCCCTGTGAAAGGGCTGTTGACCCCCAAAGGGGTCGCGACCCACAGGTTGAGAACCGCTGGTCTATAGGAATGTTAATCTGTATCTTAAATTGAGTATTTTGTTGTCTAGGATAGTGAATGAGAGCCGACAGGTACTCCAAGAACCTGATTTTGCTCAGTCCCTCCTGAGGGATCCAAATACTCCTATTATAAGAAAATCAAGAGGGACTTCGACTCAAGGCACATCCACACATGCCTCTTCAACTCAGCTGGCTATGGTGGATGATCAGAGAAGCAAAGCAGGGAGTGTCCACAGCAAAGTGAGCAGCTACCATGGCAGCCTCCACAGATCCCGTGATGGCAGGTGAGTGTTTTTGGTAGCTTAGTTTATTTCATGTGCTGAATTAGAGTTACACAGCTTAAGAAGGAAGATTAGCCAACTCTAAAATAGAAGTGGAACATTGCTAATTTTTTTGAACTGTACTTGGGAACGGTTGTCCCAGATTATGATCAGACTTAAAGCCTGTCAGAGGGAGTTAAGAGTTTAGACTTGATGCACTAAGCAACACAGAGCCATTGAAGGGTGCTGAGCAGGGAGAAGGCGGGGCGACGAAGGTTGTTATTTTAATTAGATTAATTAGCAGACAATTATGTATACCTACCATATCAGTCACTGTGCTAGGCTCTGGGAATGCAAAGATAATTTAGGCATAATCTTTGTTTTTAATAAGCTCACAGTCCATTAAGAAAGATAGTATAGTCACTATTAGTGTTGTGGTTAAAAACAGGGGATCTGGAATGATAAGTCTCAGTTTTCTCATCTATAATAATATCTGCCTCTTTCATAATGTTGTAAAACAGAAGAGAGAATATATTTAATTGCTTAGAACAGTGCCCATCTCAGTGTTTCTGATATTAACTTCTATTATTGTAAGTGAACAACTAAAGTAAAATATAAGTATGATGGTACAGCCAGCCCTCTGTATCTATGGATATTGCATCCATGGATTCAATCAACTGTGGAGCGAAAATATTTGGAAAAAATAACATTACCTTGTTGCTGACATGTGCTTATGTAGTTAGGCCTATAATGGTGGTATCTGTACTGAAGATGTATAGACCTTTTTTTTTCATCATTATTCCCTAAACAATACAGTATAACAGCTATTTGTGTAGCATTTACATTGTATTAGATATTACAAGTAATCTGGAGATGATTTAAAGTGTATGGGAGGATGTGCATAGGTTATATGCAAATACCACACCATTTTATATTAGGGACTTAAGCATCCTCGGATTTTAGTATCTATCCGCAGGGGTCCTAGAACTACCGTATTTGCCGGCGTATAAGACGATTTTTTGGCCCTGAAAAATATGCCTCCAAGTGGGGGGTCGTCTTATACGCCAGGTACACTTCAGATAGACTGCCCATAGTGCTTGCTCCGTGCCATAGTGGCCTCCCGATGCCCGCCCACTTCATTCCACATACCGTTCAGGCATCAGTAGCGCTGCTGGGTGTATGCTCGGCTGTTATGCGATTTTGCGAGTGTGGTAAATTCGGGTTACCGTATATTTCTTTACATATGCATTGAAGATTCGCGATTTTGCGCTATCATGGTGCCTGTTAGAATGTTGAAGAGCTCGCACTTGCGCACTAGTGAGGTCCCAGGGAGATGCTGATGCAAGGGTGGACCAGACTGCTATAGTGACAGGGCGGGCAAACAGGGAGCAGGGACCAATCAAATCAGGCTTTGTATACAGCCAACAGCCAACCACAATACTGCACCATTGTACAGTACAGCATAGAAAATGTCGACCAGTCAAACCCCTGTCATCCCTATCATGGCACCAGCCAAAAGAAAGAAGTATGATGCAAATTTTAAACTGAAAGTTATAAACTTTGCTAAGGAAAATAATAATTGTGCTGCTGCAAGACAATATGGAGTAACAGAAAAGATGGTTCGGGACTGGAAATCAAATGAGAAAGCATTAAAGAGTATGCCAAGGGGTAAGTGTGCATTAAGAAGAGGCACCCCACACTGGCCAGAACTCGAAAAACATGTAGCAGACATGGTGGCTCAACATCGCCAAAACGGTTATGTGGTGACACGAAATACAATACGCTTGTTTGCACTTCAGTGGGCCAAATCAAATCTGATATTGTTTTACCTTTTATTTGGTGTGTGGAAGGTGTGCGGAAGAGGGGGTAGTCTTATACGGCGAGTATATAACAAACTCTGTATTTTGAGTGGAAATGTTAGGGGGTTGTCTTATACGCCCAGTCGTCTTATACGCCGGCAAATACGGTTATTCCCGGTGGATTCCGAGGGAAAGCTGCATAGTCTAGGGATTGGCCAGCTTCTTCTATAAAGAGCTACATGGCAATTAATGTAGGCTTTGTGAGTCATATGGTCTCTGTTGCAGCTATTCACTTATGCTATGGTAACATGAAAGCAGCCATAGACAATATGTAGTCAAATGGGAATGGCTGTGTTCCAATAAAACTTTAATAAGAAGGGTGCGAGGTCAGAGAAATCTTCACAGAGAAAATGTTAGAGAGAAGGCTGGATGTATTATCTTGTTAAATTTGACAATGGAGACACTAGGTTAGAAACTTCTTAGGAGCTTTGTAATAATTTAGTTTTATGAAGGTTAGTGGGAAAGCAGTGGCAGTGGGAAGAGAGAAAGAACTGATCTGGAAAATATTTAGAAGAAATGAAAAGGTAGGAATTGGTGATGTATTAATAGCAGCTAGAGGAAGACTGTGTCAAAGTTTTTGGGTTGTTTTTTTTTAACAATTTGTAGTTTGGGAAACTGAAGGAATGAAAATTCTTATGCCTAAAATGGAAAGCATTCTGTGTTCACTTTAAAACACCTGTTTCTACAGCTGTCTGGTATTTTTTTAGTCTTATTCCAGCCTTTCTCACAATCTTCTGTGTCCTAGTGTAGGATATGATTCCTATACTTACTCTCTTTTTAGATCTTCTCGTTTTCCCTCTCAACTTGATGTCTTTGCCTTCTAACTGGGTCAGCTACTCTATGTTTTAACAAACAGTAGTCTTTCTTTGTGATATATTTTTATCTTTTTTTATCCATTTCTTTTTCCTTTCCTTGCCAGATTTTTGAAATGAACATTTTTACTATTTCTTTTCTATGTATACTGTCCTTTATTTCTTGTTTATCTATTATTTTACTTCTTCTTACCCACCTAAACTTACTTAAAACATCACCAATGACCTGTTTTTTAACCACATACAAATATCTTTTGTCTTTCCTGCCTTTGTCCTTCCATTGAGCACTCCTATATAAGAAGCATACTTCTAAGTGCTAGGAACACAGAGATGGAAGACAGAAGAGTAAGCAATCAGTTACGATACACTTTAATGGGGATAATAGAATCATATACAAGGTGCTTTAGGATCCCAGAGAGGTAAACCATCTCACCCATCATGGAAAATCAGAGGAAACTGCACAGACAACATAGCACTTCTAAGTTGAATAGGATTCAGAGGATGCATCTGGAAATTAAAGACAAGGAAATAGTATATGCAGAGGCAAGGAGGACAGAAAGCTTAAAGTTAAGTACCGGAGTATGGCTAGAGCATAGCATGTACATTTGGGCAATTATGATGATGAAATCAGGTTTGTATTTTAGAAATACCACTTTGGCGACAGCGTAGGAGAGAAGGAGATTTTAGGTAAGCCCAGTTGGGAAGTTTCTGCTGTAATTTAAGGGCTCTAACTTAAGACACTCTATAAAGAAGGAGAGAATCAGAGAGTCTTTTAGAATATGCTTTGGCAACACCACCCTCCCTGAACTATCAGCATTCTTTGACTTTTGATATTATTAACCTCGTCCTTTTCAATAAGGATTGAACAATTATTTATAGTACAATGCCTATGCATGTGGCATACTGCATATAAAGAGATGTATAGAAGAAAGGTGAAGTGTAATTTCTGCATTCTAGGAGGATATAACCTTACAGGGAAGATAAGACATACACATAAGAGCTGATTAAATAATAGTGCCAGCCAGCAAATAATTAAGACAATGAGTGATAGAGATGATTGATGTTATAGAACTTCAGAAAAGAGAAAGATCAGATTGGCCCATGAAAATATCTTAGAGGAGATAAATAGGGTGAATGAATGGTAACAAAAGATAAGTTCATATTGAGTGGAAAATTTCCAAAGGTAATTAATTATAGCGGACTTCAGCCTCTGAATCCAGCACAGTGCTAAGCATATATATGCAAATCTACTGGATAACTAATGACTTTAGAAATAATGTGAGCATTTCCCAGAAATTCAGAGCCTAAAACTGTAATCACAGCCTACTTAAACAGTTCTATAATATGGTGCCTGAACACTCATACTATAAGACCTCCTGCATGCCCAGAACTTCAGAGCAGATTTGAAAGATTCCAAGACCACGGTGTTGAACCTAAAAGTCTAAATAAGGATTTTCGTAATTCCAAAAGTGATCTCATGGAGACTTCTTTCTGCATCAGTCAATTTTTAAATTTACTTGTTAACTAACACTACCTTTTGGCCATCTTTTTCTTATCATCTCGTGGTTTCTTGGTTATGAAAGAAAACACACACACACACTCTTCTCAATACTCACTGTAGTCCAGACTTCTTGATGGATAATTATTGATCTCAGTGCTATGTAAAATAAAATAGACTTAGGTAAATACACTTACATGTGTGTGTAAACTGCAAAGAATAAATAATTGGTAATTAGATGAAAGGTTGGTTTGAAAAGGAAGTGGATGAGTAGGTAAGTGGAAGTTTGGGAATGAGTGATTATGATGGTAAGTAGGTGACACAAGAAGGGAAAGCTAGGAAATGTATAATGAGATACTAGTGAAACTATAATGAATTCAATTATTTATATTAATGGTAGCAAATAGTATAGAGAATCAAAAAGAGTAAATCATCTTCAGGTTTCTTTTGTTTTGACTGTGGACTACACCATATAATCTTTTTATTAAATTAACCATCCTAATTGTTTTGTCTAAACTTATGTTAAGATTAACGTATATTTTCATATTGTGTATTAGAGTAAATGATCACAGTGGCTTAAATGATTGTCAAAAGATAAATAAATTTGGTGATTCCCAATTGAGATTAAATACTATAATTAAATTTATTTTTCTATGTAGTTGATTCCTAATTATCCAGGAGCAGGTTGTTCATAGTCCAGAATTTTGTGGATAGCCATATATTTCGCTTAAATAATTAGACACAAGAACTCAATATAGTAATTTTTTCTATGAAAAATATATTTTTTGAGTTTTACTTGTAACTCAAAGGTTTAGGTTTTATTTTAGAAAATACTCAATTCATATTTAGCTGAGCCATCCTGCTACCTGTTGGCAGCTCAGCGGCTGCTCAGCTCGGGCTGGACTCAAACCGCTGTTGCTCAGAGCGCAAACTCTTGAGCGAGCTCTTAACCAACTGAGCCACTCGGCCGGCCCTTCAATTCATATTTTTAAAGTGATTTGTTTTTATTTTTAATTACTTTGATATCATTCCTAGAACTGGATCATATTTTACTTTTTTTCATTTGCCAAATTATTTGAAATAGACACTTAAGAAGTCATTGAGAGGCGAAAGATCTCCAAATTAGCAGACAAATCATATTTGGGAAAATCTTTCACTCAGTTTACGGCAATAATGATTAAGCAAAATAGTAATAGAATAACAAGCTCATTCTGAAATATTTTCATTTGCAAACTTTGTAATTATTTTACCAAAACATGCAAATCAAATTTAAAACTGGAACGAAAGATGTACTTTTATAATTTAAAAGGATTTCTCAATTTTTAAACTCTATGATCTAGCGAAAACATTATTTAACAATTACTACTGTTAAAGTAGATCACCTCAGTAGTGTATGAAATCAATCTTTAAACTTTATAAATGATTTATATTGAGTCATGAAATTTGTAATTATGAAGGAATGATAAATGACAGCCAGTAGGTCTTCAGCTGCTTATGATTAATTCTTTTGATGACTATTTTAAAAAGGAATGGCCTGCTATAGTCTTTTTATTTTTAGAAACATTACTTAAAATTTCATATGTTAATTAAAATTATAAGTTATATTAAGTTTTCTTCGAGGTTTGTTATCCTAAGTTAAATACTTTTTACAAAAAGGTGTATGTATGAGTGTGAGTTTTCTTACCTCTGATGGGGGCTCCGATGAGTCAGGATTGCAACACAAGAAAATTGAACAGCTCCCCACTGCTGCCTTTTAAGATAAGTACATTGATGGAGGAGAAGACTGCCCACAGTGAGCAAGGTGGCCCAGATGACATACTCATAAGCTGGGTCTTAGGCTAGGGGTACTGAGAGAATTTGCTTTAGCAGGAATATAAGTTACAGTGTGTTAGGATGTTGTTACATATATTTAATTAGATGTACTTTCTATGGAATAGCATCTTCACAGCCTCAGGCCTAATGAAAAGTAATTAGGACCATTTACAGTAGTTAATTCAGCTATTAACTGGGCTATCTGGAAAGAAGCTGTCAGCACACAGCGTCGTCATTGCTTGCCAATTCATTCAGGTTTTTTTGTTGTTGTTACACTAATTTCTCCTCTTATTTCATATGCTCCCTCTTCCTGGTCTTTTAGTAAAATTTGAGTTTGCTGTATTTCCGATTATAATCAACTTTCTAGACTCACTGGACAATACCGTATTTCTTCTGTTGTTGTTCTTCCCCTCCCTGTATCCACTCCATAACCCCAAACTCATTTGAAAGTGAAAAGGATTCACACTTAGTGTAGTTCCATGTCAGTCAGCTCTACTTAACCTTACTTAGCGTTTGTCCTTCTGCAAAGAATAGGACCTTAACTCTGAATCTAATGAGATTTCCTCCCTTCTTTTGGTTAGCCATATGTATAATACTACCGTGTAAATGAAATTACTGTAAATCATCAAAAGTGGTTTTTACTTTTTCACTTGTTGGTTTCCTAATCATTTCACTTAATGCGGCAATTTTCACGAAAAATTTTGGTGTTGTTTGCTAGTATGTTCTGTTACCCGCTTCAAAATAAACTCTCCTATATTAGGTACACTCCCTGCAGTTACAGAGGAATGGAAGAGAGACTACCTCATGGAAGCATGTCACGACTAACAGATCACTCCAGGCACAGTAGTTCCCATCGGCTCAATGAACAGTCACGACACAGCAGCATCCGGGATCTCAGTAATAACCCCATGACTCACATCACACATGGCACCAGCATGAATCGGGTTATCGAAGAAGATGGAACCAGTGCTTAAATTGCCCTGTCAAAGGTGGAAAACTTGTGCCGTTTAGAAAGCAGATTCTGTTCTTTGCCTTTGCATGACTGATTGCTGTAACTCTCTGTTATGCGTTCAGTCAGGTGCAGATTGTGTCCATTGGAAAAGTAAATTTTTGCTTTTTATATTGCATCCATCTTGGAACATCAAGATGTCCAAAATGCTAAGAATTATATCGTCACATAAATAATCCTTATTTCTAGGTTATGAAGAGATAATTATTTGTCTGGTAAGCATTTTTATAAACTCATTTTATATTTAGAAAAATCCAAAATGTGTAGTGACTGCTTTGTAGTGAACTTTCATATGATATCAGTTACTCGTGAGGTAACATTCTTGGTCGTTCTGTTAATAAAACACAATTTCAGAGTTAAAGAAATTTTCTATGCAAGGTTTGTTTCTCAGATGAATAATAGGACTTTGTAGTTTTATTTCCGCTGAGTGAAAAAGAACTGTGTTTTTAAACTGTAGGAGAATTTGATAAATCAGCAAGTGTATTTTAGCTAACGGAATCTAAGATCAACATAAGAATCTGATTAGTCTTTTGAAGGCTCTTTCAAAATTCTATCAAAATAAACTTCATCCAGAGAGATACAGGAGTAGCAATGGACATTTTTCCCCCCTATAATTGAGCTGATTTTATTACTTTTGTAAATATTACTTTTACTGGCAGTGTTTTTTACAACTTGTCCATATGCATGATGGAAAAATAATTTTTAGCTATTTTTTTCCCATGTAGTAGTATTGATTCACAGAGAACTTTGTGTTCATATCTGTTCTGTGGAGGCATGTAATAAGATCAGCATCACACATTATAACGTGTTTTTTTTTTGTTTTTGTGTTTGTTTTCTGGTAGCCACAATTACAAAGTGGCAAAATGTTTTCTCTGTATTCATTGTTGTATTTTTCTACAGTGATATGTGATCTTGCCAAAGCCACCATCCAGGTCTTGGTATCCAGGCCCTCCTACCACTGAGCTGATTGTCTGCTCTTGCATTGCCCAGTAGCAAATAGGCTACAGATTTTGTTCCTCCCTGCTCCCTCTCCCGCCCCCCCTTTTTACTTTCAGATTCTGGATCATTCTTTTCTTGTTTACAGCTGAAATATATATAACCTAAGTGCAAAGTGGCATTTTATTTGGGATATCTGAAAATCATTATAGCTAAATGAAGCATGGTTAGTCTTGCTGTGAAGTATCTTTTAATCTTAAAAATATCAACTCAAAAATTGACATTTTGTCTTGTGTTTAAATTATTTTTAGTAAAAACTATGAACTTTATTAGGCATGAAATTGATCAGAATGGAAAGAAAAATTCTGGAAAATGCTGGATGTGTTCTATAGAAAAGCATATTTAAACAAGCAGTCCTCAACCCTGACTCCAGGTAAGAATCACTTGAGGTACCACTGATGCCCAACAACTCCCTCTCATTCAGATGAGAATTGGTAGTTTTTTTAAAAAAAAAGGTTTTCCAGGTGATTCTCATCTTCAGCCAGGCAGTAGTCTGTTTTAAATTAACTTGCCCCTGATGATGATCTGATGGCATCCTATTACATCATGTGAAAATCTAGATGATTCAGTATTATACTTTTATATCATTACCTGATTCACAATCATTCTCCACTTTGTCCTTTTATTATAATATAATGTGGAATTCTGGGCTCCAGTCCTAAAGATTCTTATTCAGTAACTCAGAGGGGGTAGGACTTTGAAATCTGTAGTTATAAAAATACTATAGGTAATTCTTTTGCAGGTCGTCTAAGAATCACACCTTAAAAAATATTCTTGACTCCAGAAAGTCTAGCTTTGTCATATGCTAGCTTTTGACCTCTAACAAGTTAACTTCTCTGAGCTCTGTGCTTCAGCTCCCTTGTTTGTAAATGAAGATAGAAGATAAATACCTATCTCACAAAGTTGTCAAGTAAGGTTCAAATGAAAAATCATATGAAAGCACTGTGAAAAGCATGAAATACAAGGGATTAAGATTATTGAGGATTTAAGAGATTTGTTTGAGGGCTATTATAGTACATTCCCTGACATGTGTTTAATTCATATGTACTTTTACTGTCTTTTTTTTAAATCAAAAGTACTAAAAAAGTAGGTGTTGATAAAAGAAGCTTTTATCAGGCACAAAAATCAGTTTTCTGATAAAAATAATTTGTATATCATGTTTCTTTCAAAGTTCCTATGTCTTAATATTTATTATTATTAATTCTTCATAAGATATATTTGAACATTTGGCCCAAAATGTTTTTCTTTTTCCTCAGTCTTCATTGTTATTCTCATTGAAACTGGAGTTAGTATTCAAAATAGGCAGAGTCTGAATTCCCCCATAACTAATATTTAGTAAGTCTTTTTCTCTGAAGGCAGGCCAAACTTATAACAACTCATTTATAAATAAATTAGTAATTCAGGAGGCTTTTGTCTGAGAATCTCTCCTGAGAACAGTATGACAAAACCAACACAAACATTCAGAAACAAAAATAAGGAGTTAAAATAGAAGGTACCAGCTTGAGCTCGAAGACGTTGTCAGTCGTTGCCATCTGCGTTATATGATCAATTGCCAAAATGTTAATTGGTTTTCTTGAACAAGTGGCCAAGTATAGACAGTTAAGTGAACATCACTATTAAAATCTTAACTTTGTGCTTCCTGATTTTTACATATTCATTTGTAGCTTCTCTGTTAAACTAACTGTTGGTATATATTGTAGGTGCTATATTGACATTTCAGTGACTTTCAGTATCTTAATTTTGTTCCACAAAATTTACTTAATATTGTTTATCCATTATCTTGAATAACAGCATTTAGTTTGGGCCATGTTATTTATCAAACTAGTGCTCCAAATTAATTTCTTTTTGTTTTTGTTTTTTGTTAAGAGACAGTTGAAGAACTATAGCAAAACAGCAATTTCAAGTTTCAACAAGCTTAACAAACTGAGCAAGGCTGGACAGCTTTCTTACCATATGTTTAATTTGTGTTGTGATTTTGTGATTGGCATATAATAATGCTTAGTGTTTTATTTGTTCAGCTGACAACTGAGAAAATAATAGTGCTCTCTAAAATAATATATATTCAAAAGGTTTTGAAAAGTACTTTGATTTCATCAATATTATATTTATTTTATTCAGTAATTAAAAGATCCAAGGCAATATTAAGCTAAAAACAATAGTTTCTAAGAACAATTGATTAATAACTCAACATCTAGCACAGGGTTTAGTACATAGCAAATTTTTTAGTAATTGAATAAATAACTCATATCATGCAACTCACTTTTACCCTAGTAGAGTCTCACCTGAAAGAAATTTGAAGGATTTGAATTGAAATTAAGTGAAATGAAGTCTGCTTTATCAAAAGAACATGTGGCAAGTAATCAGAAATAAGTAAATTGTACCAAATGAAACCTATTTCTCCTATAGTAACAGTCCATATTACTATTTAAATTAAAAATTTATATATATACAAACTGTACCAACACTTTATATTAATTTTTAAAGGTGAAAGCTATTCTTAGTAATATTTAGGCTCTTGTTGGTTTTATGTGAAGTTAGATCTTGTATTAGTTGGGTGAATGAATATTCAAGCAAACCTTTGTTAGCAATAGTTTTCGTTTTCTGCTTCTTAGAGCAGATTTATAAAAATTCTAAGAATCTCTTCAAATTAGAAAATTTGACTATATTTTAACCTACCTCATTAGTTTCTTTGTGATAATACTTGGAAATAATGGAAATTTTAACTATCTTGGTGTAGGCTATATCCCCATGAAATAACATGAACTACTTAAATTTTTTTGATAAAATAGTGGATCATTGGCTGAAGCTGAGAAAACATTAATACTATACCAAAATTTGACTATGATGATATTTATACTGATTTTGACATGCCAAAGGTACATTCATGTATTATCATACTTGGATGACTTACATAGTCTAGCGTAATGAAAATTCTACTGGGTTTGGAATTCAGAGACCCATAATTACGATATAAACTGGACAGGTCGTTTAACTTCTCTTAGTCTCAATTTGTTCAATGTAAAATGAGGATAAGGTAAGTTTTGGTCCCAACCAACAGGATGTTGTGAGAATCAAATGACATAACATGTATTATAATGCTCTGCAATCTATAAATTACTCTATTTACATGTTTATGTTAGAATTTTGGGGTTATAGAAAACAAAGATTGGTCTTCAGTGATATATAGCAATAACAGCAAAATAGTAAATTAGACCAGTATTCTTTTGGCACAATCTTTAAATCAACAATTCAGTTATCCTTTTAAAATGAGGTTTTTTTTCAAGAGTGGCCATGCCCTTAAATTGTGCTGGCTCTTTCATATATGTTATACTACAGTATGCTCTCAAATTTTATGTGGTTGAATTTGTAGGTCACTTCCAACAGAAATTGATGATCTCCACTATATGTTACCTTTGATATGAAATTATATAAAATAGCTTGACTTCACTGAAATTTGTAAGAAAAATATATAGAGGACTGTAGGCCTTAACTTTTTTTTCTTTGAGGACTTCCACGTGCCTAATTCTCTATAAGAACAAGTTTTAAAAGGAGATTACTGTAACTTGGTTTTCAACACTGCAAAACTTTAAATTTTACGTCATAACATTATCTTAATTTTTTGTATAATTGTATATATAATTTTTTAAACCTGCATAAAATGTATTTCTCCATTTTTTTCCCCCACATATAAACACAAAAGATGGCATCTTTACAGAACCAAGATTTACAAAGGAGTTCATGATTCTTTTAAACTTTTATCCCTTTTTACAACTAATTAAAATAAGAAAAAGTGTTTACATTTATTTAATTCAGCTATGTTTCCTAGTAGCTGTATAATTTTATACATTGTTCTTTGGCCATTTCTGTCTATTTTATATGAAAAAATTAGTTGACATCTCTTCATAATTTATCTTTTTTGTTTCAGTTATATGAATTTTGGGAAAGGAATAGGAAGACTACATCCTTTACCTTCCATCTGACTGTAATCAGTCTCCTGGGTTTTTTCTTATAATTTAATTTTAATCTTAAATTTTTTAAAGAACCAAATCGATATAGGATTATAATTATCTCTCAGGATCCAAAATCTAGGAGAAAATGTTAAGGTCTATCCAGAACCGGCCATCTTTGTAGACATTATTATTTTGGTTGATTTATAAAGGGGTAATATAATAAGTTAATGAGCATATTTTTTATTCTATGATCTCTAATTAGAAAGTAAAATTTTGTTGCTGTAAAGATAAGAGAAGATAAAGTTTCACTTTAGTCAAATCCCATACCAGTACAAGGTTACTTTCTGTAAGAGTAGTTCACTCTGTTTCAATGCACTAAAGAAAGTTTCCTTCAGGGCCGGCCGAGTGGCTCAGTTGGTTAAGAGCTCGCTCAAGAGTTTGAGCTCTGAGCAACAGCGGTTCGAGTTCTGGCCCGAGCTGAACAGCCGCTGAGCTGCCAACAGGTGGCAGGATGGTTCAGCTAAAAACAAACCAAAAAAATAAATAAATAAATAACTATCAAACCTCAGCAAAACCTAAGAACCTGTCCTT